AATTTTTTTCTTCCAAAAATTTCTTGGAATCTGCAGCTGAAAGAGAACTACATGTTGTTGAAACAACACCAATGTCTATTTTAACATCCTAAACTGTACAATGATTGTTAAAAGCTATGATTTAAGGGCCGTTCACACCAATGCTGTAACAATAAAGATATCGTTTTAAAAATCGTTCTAAATGTAAAAGATTAGCGAGACACTGTAACACAACTGTAACGATAACAGCACAGAGGAACAATATCGTTAGAATCACTTTTACAATGATTTTTCCTGCTGAATGATAAAAACATTGACAGCCAATCAGGATCCATCCTGCTTAAAGAGCTTGAGCAATTAAAGTGGCAGATGACAAAACTGCAGCTTGTGCTGCTTATGATAAAAAGAACTATATCGATGCAAAACACTAATATAGTTATCATTATCATTATAATCATCTTTATAGCTATCATTCTTGGTGTGAACGGGCCTGTTACAGTTCAAATAATGCAAGTTTTTATTAAAATAATAACACGATTATATCTTTATAAATATATTATAATAAATATGAATATATTGTTATTATAATTATCATTAATCATAAATTATTACATATGTAAATTCATTTGCCTGAACAAAACTGGCATACGGGCTAAATGAAAATTCGCTAAAAGTCACTCTTTGATGGTTATGGAAAAGCAGAAATACAGCAGTTACCCCAGTACACAAACCAGCGCTGCGTTACTAAATGTCATATGGAGGATAGATGAAAAGAAAATTCTATCGACAACATTTCTGACAACATTCAGTTCCCCTCAGAGATTCATTCATAATAAAAACTCCTCGGATTTGCACTAATCTTGTGAATGACCTATTTCAATGTCAGAGCTGTGAATTTCATTGCGATGCGATTTCAATGAAATGAGTTTGCAGGTCTGATTTTGTCTGATCTGTAGCTCTGCTGGTGAAGTTGGAGCATGTAGGCATGTATAAATCACAGTAACTATTGTGGCAGTAACTATTCTTCCTGTTTTTTTAACGAATTGTACAGTGTAATTTAAGCCAAAAGCTCTTTGTACTTAGATGCTGCATAGCGACCGCATCACCTGCCAAGTTTCAGGAGGTCGTGCAGAAGGCTGGTTTGACCCTTGACCTCCCTGAAGCAGTGCAGGCGTTAGACACGCTGGAAACGCGCTATGAAGTTCTGGAGCGATCAGACGACTGGGAGTCCAAGCTGAGACGACACATAGAGTCCATCAGCTCAATGAGACGACTCGGAGCAGCAGCAGAGACCAGAGATTGACATGAAGATGATTTGACGAGCATTTAAAATGCATGAGTATCCGATTTGTTTTCAACACCTGAAAGACTCGCAGCACTTTTTGATCATGCACCTGTTTTTTTT